AGTTTGAGAAACATGGGGAGCAGACTATTGAAAGGATTTTAATAAGGGGAGTAATGTGATCAGATCTGCAGTTCAGAAAGATCTGGCAGCTTTTTCAAAGATGAATTAGGGTGGGCAGGAGTGGAGATAGGGAGTCTGAACAATATTTTTAGTGACAGAGGCCCAGAGCCTAAACTGCAGGGCAGGAGGGATGGATATTAGAGAGACAGAATTGATAGTATGTGGCATCAGATCGGGTATGGGGAGAAGGACACAGAGGAGGAATAGTTTAGCATGGCTTCCATATTCCTGGCTTAGGTCATGCCTAGGAAAATTAGAAGAGAAACAGGTGTGAAGGAAGATTGGATCTAGATATTCAGAACCAGAAGTACCTGTTGATCACATAGGTAGAAATGCCCAACGGGAATCTGCAGCTCAGCAAAGAGGTCTGTGTTGAAAATAAAACTTGTTTAAATTATGCACATAAAAATGGAGGTCACAGGGGCCGGCCCGGTGGCACACTGTAGCAGTGCGCCGCTTGGGAAGCGCGGCGGCGCTCCCGCCGAGGGTTCGGATCCCACATACAGACCGGCCGCTCACTGGCTGAGCGAGGTGCGGGAGCAGCACCGAGGGTTGCGATCCCGTGGCCGGTCCCGGTCCGGTACGGGCGCGACACTGAGGGTTGCGATCCGTTGCCGGTCACGAAAAAAAGACAAAAAGGAAAAAAAAAAAAAAAATGGAGGTCACAGAAAAGGTAGAATAAGAAGAAAAGAGGGTGAAGGAAAAGTCCTACAGAATAACAAAATTCAAGAAGCAGGCAGAAGTATAGAAGTCCAAAAGCTGCAGAGAAGGAATGGCCAGAGAAGTAGGAGAATAAGTAAAATGCATGCCATAGAGGCCCAGGGGAGAAAGAGACAAAGGAAATGGTCAGCACTGTCAAATGCTGTGTAGAGATTAAGTAATATGACGACTGAAAAAACTCTGGATTTAGCCATTAGGTCAACAATGATCTTTGATATGGTTTCAGAGGAATGGTGGAAGTAGAAGCCCAACCACAGGGGCTGAAAAGTGAATGGGAGGTGAAAGAAGAGCAGGGTCTTTATGTCAAGAGTGTGGCTGAGAGTTAGTCAATGAGAGGGGATGTAACGTCAAGAAGGATTTTTAACATGGAGGAGACATTAAAATAACACTAACCACAGCTATGTAAATGGGTGTCGTCCAGAGAAATTAGCAGAAAGAACAGAGGATGGTCTACTTGGAGGGTGTGGACAAGAGAAAATGAAGAACCAAAATGACCACCAACTTGGGAAATCAGAGTAAGAAGAGGGAAGGAGGTGGAATGACAGAGTGTAGGAAAGGGAGCAGCACAGGGCACTTTACATTTGATTCAGTAGAGAAGGTTATTGTCATATGGAAAAAGTATAATTTACTGCCTGTACTGGAAGAGTCTCTCTGGTACATATATCTTGCCCAGGGAAGAGAGAGATATCAGAGTAGGAAGGTGACTTCTGCATACAATACATGTCAAAACTTGCAACCTGTAATAACTTACCACCTCTTTGATGAGTCTTCACTAGAGACTGATATGAAAGCTAGCAAAGTTTTAGGGTAGTGATCTAGAGAGATATTGGTATATTAAGTTGTTGGTGACAGAGAAGGACCTTTAGGAACAGTTTGTAGAGGTTTGAGGGATTTGGGAGCTGATCTAGGAAAAATTTGGCCTATTTATGTAACACAGTCATGAAGTAAGGAAAACAAATGCCTGGGGATAGATGGGCAGAGACTTTAAAGCTAGAGAGGATCACTCAGTTAAGAAAACTGAGACCCAGGGAAGTCAGGTGCCTTTTCCATGATGCAGTTGAGAAAGCTGCCATATCCAAATGGTAGCTGACATCCAGAGAGCATGTGACTCATCAAGAGACCACAACAGGAACCCAGGATCTGCCTCAGTAACACATGGGAGCTCAAGGACAAGAGAGAGAAGTTAAAGAGAAGAGAGGAATTTTGTCCTGTGGGACAAAACACATGTTGAGGTGATGGGGCACCATGGTCCTGTTAGATGTGTTGGAGAGTTTGCCTTCTGTTCCAATCAGAAAACCCTGTCTACAGTGTGACAAACCCTTTCCAGGTATTAGCCCCTGTGCCTTCAAGACTTTCAGGTAAGAGCCACAGGGAGCCTCCATGGGTTGGCACCAGGAACCCTCTGGACTAAAGAGAAAAGGGACCACAGCTCTGTTCCTACTTTTGGCCCAATACTAAACTTCAAGAGTCTATATCTCCCCCAAATCTGGAGCAGATGGAAAAGGCAGATGGAAGAAAATGTACACCCCTTAGTAGCTCCTCTGGACAGTAATCAGGAGCTGACCCAGGGTGGGCATTTGGAAGGACTCAGCCTCCGTCCTGCCTGGTGCTGGGATCAGCTCACACAGCTCCTGTGTCCACAGGGCACAGAGAAAACATTGTCCATAAGGAGGATTATTCTGTACAAGAAGCTCAGACAAAGGGAGAGGTTGTTTCCAGCTGCCTGGGGGAAGTGAGAAGGGGGTGGAAAAAGGGACCAGCCTTGTACTGGGGCATTCCTGCAGAGTTCAGCTTTTTCCCCTCATGAGCAGGAGAGGAGATGAGCAATTATAGCCCTCCAGCTCAGTCCTAATTCTGGGACCCATTATGGAGTTGCAAGGAGCACGTAGGTACAACCTATCCATTTTGGCTGATCCCCCAAAAAGTACAGGGTTCAGTTAGGTGAACCAACTAAGTATGGCAACAATAAATGCCAGAATGTGAAGAGAATGGGGTGACTGAGGCAATGAGCAAAAGGGAGATTTGACAAGGACTAAACCCTAGATTCAGGACACATCTGGAGAGGTAGAGGTCCCAGGCAATGGGTGTTAAACGGACATTGATTCAGTAAGTTCCCACCTTCAGCGGGATGAACTCTGTGCTGTAGTAAGCTCTTGAGGCTTCACAGCTGCTGCTGCTTTCTACATCCTAGACACAGACCTGGGAGACGATGACCTAATCTCTTTCTCCAGGAACCCCAAGAGTAGGAGCAAGGACAATGCCCAAGCAAAACCTGAAAGTCAGAAATAAGGGAACACTACCAGAGGAGGGCAAGAGAGTCACTTTTTTGCAAACCCTGTCTGAGCAAGTAAGCAGGTCATGTCTTCTTCAAAGGAAACTCCATATATATTCCCTCCTGAGGGGGAATGAGTGTGTTAGAGGTGGGAGATACATAAAAGGGGTCTTCAAAAAGTTTATGGAAAGATTCATATTATCTTTTAATTCCATTTCTCCATGAACTTTTTGAAGTACCCTTGTATTCTCTATTGAGGTGTTTACTAGGTTGTAAGGGCTCCAAAGTGGGAGATGCTACAGAGGTTTGTGTAGCCAAAGGATTTTTGGTGGGGGGATGGAAATGAGAGCACATGCTCCCAGAGTGACAAATATAGAGGTGTGAGTGCCTCCAGAGTAAGGAATGTTTGCTTAAGGGCATAAGATGTAGGTGAGGTCATGCATTTGTTCTTGTTGGGGCAGGACATTTCCCCTCCTGGTGGACAAGGAATCCATTTCAATAGTATGGTAGGAATGAAGTCAGTATTATCCTGGGACAACAAAATTGGGGCTGGTGCCATTCAATATGGGAATCTTTTGGTGGAGTAAAGGACAGCAGTCACCAAAAGATGCTGCAGGAGTTTTAGAGAAGCATAGCTCAAACTCTATACAATATGCCAGTTAGCTTTGACATTTCCAGTGGGAAGGGAAGAGGAGAGAAGACAACACCTGAGTGGGCTGATGGGACGGAAGTGTTTAAGTGGGGGACAGATCTGGTATTGCCTCAGAGCTGATGACAGGACTCCCCTGCTGCTGTGTATTGTGGTCAGTGAGCTTTAAGGGTACCACTCCTTGTCTTGATGGGACAGGAACAGATGTGACATCTAGGGCCACTTTTCCAGTCCTTTGCTGCCACAGCCTGGCAGACTTGTCTGACACTGAACAAATGCCAAAGTACCAATGTGTGATAGAAGAGAACAGAAAAAAGGCAGCTGGAAGGTATGAGCAAGACAGAAGTCTCAGGATTTTTAGATTAAAGCCAATTAAAGATAAGAAGACTTTTTTATAAAGAAAAAAATCAGAACTGTCTTGTAGCACTCTTGAAATTATCTCTGATCATTATGTAGCTCTATCATAAATTGCTGTCAGACAGCCCTCAGGCACTGAACATCAATTTAAGTAACTTTATTCAGAGAAATCCTCTGGTCCACTTCTGCTGACTCAGCCTCTGCTCCTGACAACAAAGGAGCACTAAGAAAGGCAGTTTAGACCAGATGTCCAAACTCACTACATTCCTCAACTTTATAAAAGTAGTCAAAGTTAGTGAGGGCGGCCCTCCCACCATCAATCTGGCTCTTATTTTAGCCACAGGCTTAGTGGAATAGAGGAAAGCCATCCTGGCCAGAGTCCCTGATCTAGGTACTATTATGAGGACAATTAAACCCTGATGAAAGAAAGTATGAAGTGCAATTCCCCTCTCCCTCAAAAATAAGAAAAATGAGCCCGGGGAAGGGGCTTTTTTATGTGTTAAAGAAAAACTCTCACAAAGTCCTGCCTGGCAGAGCCATTTCCTGAGAAATCTCCCACCTACTGGCCCCTGAACATCTTCCTTCGTGTATAAGGTGGGGTAAAGAATAGGGGACTTTGTGACTATTTCCCATGTAAGAGCTGAATTGGCTTCTCAGATGATGGACAGTAGAAAATAGTACAGCTTCACCAGAGCTGTAGGTAGACCGTTTTTCCCAGCCCAGAAGCTTCTTCGCCTGCAGTTCAGAGGAAAAGCCAGGACAGAACTTGGGCAGGAGGTCCTGCAGAGACATTGTGCTACTGAGAACATAGAGGCTGCTATAGTTTCTGGAAGCACAAAATAAGCACTGGCTTATCTGATCTTGTCTCTTCAGTTCACCATTGACATGAAACAGTATCAGATCAGAGTAAGGTCTGGATCAAGGATTGTGGAGGACAGTAGCTGTAGAAACTATCATTTATTGAATACCCATTACTTCAGATATTGTGCTAAGTGTTTTACATTCATTTTCTCATTTTAATCCTCACAACAACCCTACGAGGTAGGTATTATCACCATTTACAAATGAGAAAACAGGCCCAGAAAAATTAGGTCACTTGCCCGACGCCACACAGCTAGTCAGCGGTGGAGCTGGGATTTATCTGTTGCTGAAAGCCAATGTTCTTTTTATTGTACCCATCTAGGTGAGCCTTGAGCAAAAGGTAACTTCACTGCCCAAATCTGCAAAGAGCACCTGGGAGTGGATGTTGCCAGCCACACTCACCGCTGGTAGGGATGCATTGAAGCTGACTTGATGTTGGTTTTTATTCCACTTGGCATCTTCCCTGAAAGGAACACGAAGAAAGACATCTGAAGCAAGGTAAGACTTTCACAATAAATCAGAAATGTGGTCTTTCAGGTTCCCTTCTGCCACCTCCTTTATCATCTCAGAACCTCTGTGGCATCTGACCCTAGTTGGCAGAGATCAGAGGTGTGGTTCTTCACCCAGTTCTCTCCCTGAAGGTATCTGGGAGGAATGGGTGATAAAGGAGAATAGTGGGAGGGGTCTAAACACACCCCATCACAGTCTCCTGCTCATCTGTGCCTGGAAAAGATAGCTAAACCTGTGTGACCCCCATTTAATATCACAAGTAAAAGAGTAATATGTCTCTCATTTTAATTGTCCCTTTTTCTACACAGCTTGGAAGAAATACCTCTTCTAGCTGCTTGCATCTGAACTCCTCCAGACTGTCCTCATAAATACTAAAAGTGAGCAGGAGAAAAGGCAGGAAGCTAAGAGCAAGAGAGACAAGATACAGAGAAAAAATACATGTAAGACTGGAAACTTGCCTGCCTATCAATTCCTGATGCACCTACCAAATGGTCTTGATTAAGGTTTGGCCATTGATTTCTCTACATAAGAAGAGACACTGACAACACACCTAATATCCAAAGTAAATGGCATAGAAGGAGAGTTGAGACAGAGGTCTGAGATGGGATAGGTGAGAGCAGCTGCTGCTACTCAAAAGTTCTTCCTCACTCTCTGGTACCTGCTGCAGTCTCAGGTGAGATTTTTTACTTCCTAAATCTGTTTCTGGGTCACAGTGCAAAGGAGAAAATCCCCAGGCCTGGGGATACAGGAGGACCCAGACGATCCAGCTCATTCCCACTCCCCTCTCAAAGTCAGCTATATTTCAACCCCTGTCACCTTACCTGGTTGACCTGCTTGAGCCATTTGCACCCCACTGAGCATCGGCTGCTGCTGGCTTGGAGCTCCTGCCATCTGCACCTGCTGTAATCCTGAGGATCCTGCAAGGATTGTCCCAGCTCCTGGCTGGCCTGGTTGGCCAGGACCACTGCTGCCTGAAGGTCTCCAATTAGACAGCCCCTTCCCAAAGGCAACAGCTGCCACCAAAGCATTGGTGTCTGCAGGGTTAAAGGTCTGTTTGTTTGGCCGGAGACCTGAAGAAAAAGTAAGTAGGGACCCTGAAATATGCCTCTGCCCTCGACTGAATCTAACAGCTGGAAGACAAGTATGTGCGTTGGGGTTTGGACCTCTGACTTCAGCATCATCTAGAATCCCTCACAGTCCAGGGGAAGAACCAGAGGACCCCAAGCCTATCTCAAAATTCTCCCTTCCCACTTTGCTCATTTCCTCCACCTGCTCCAGGGCTGGCCTTAAATACAAAAGGCTAACAGAATAGATGCAAACCCTTTCCTAAGTAGTTCATTCTTGCTTCCTCACTTCATTACAACTGAAACCATGCGTATTCCAGTGACCTTATACACCTCTCCCTCTCCGTTTTGCCACCAATCCCTCCATACCTCCACTCTCTGATTCTCGCTCCTCTTTGCTGATTTTCTCCAGAAGGTTTGAGCACATTTTATTCAAGCTCTGGATCTGCTTCTGTTAACACAGACAAATTTGTGCAGAGATTAGGGTAAGTACGAAATGATTATGGAAAAGTGCTCTTCCAGAGTCAACTTAGGTGTAACCAACTGTGCATCCCTACTAGACAGGAATGGTTAATGCCTAGCTTCTTGTGATGGGTCAGGGATGGGAGCAGCAGGGCAATGATGCAGTCCAACCTGAGCTGCATCAGCACCAATGCGGGCAGCATCTGTTGTCAGTTGCTTCTCCTGCTCTTCGACCTCAGGGTCAGGCTTGGTTCTCAGATGGTCAGGGACCACCTCATGGCTGAAAACGGGCACCCGTCCTTCTGTCTGCCGCTGTAACACACAGATTTCATTGATTCTACCATGCACTCCAAGAAGACAATCTGGTCTGATATACAGTCCTTTCCACAGGCAAACAGTGTATTTTCAGGGAAGGCACAAACTGAAACACAATATCTAGCTTCCTAGGACACCATCCCTTTCACTCCATTGTCATTTCTGTCTTCTCACACCCATCTCTACCAGACCTAGGGGCAAATTAAACTCTTTCTGCTACATTTTAATTAAAGACTGGAATAGACAAAGTCACAAAAAACAAATTTTTTTGCTAGAGAGAGATGTTGGAGGAAAAAGGTCTTTGTCTTGGTGACATGGGCTTCAGGTTATTACAGCACTATTTGGGAGTGGCTCCCCAACCTCCAGAAGGATAAAAAGTAAGGCCTCCAAAATGCAGCCCTTGCTTCTTATTGCCACATACTACTAAACATCCAAGACTTCTAGAATAACCAATCAAGTATTATGCTCTAGACTTTGATCCAAGAACTTAATTTTCCAAGTTCTACCTTTTTCTCCTCTTACCATGAGATCTTCATCTCGGTCTGGGGACAACACCAGAGGGATGATGACCTGGTTACGGAACAGTGGTGTCTTTTCATGTTTCAACACCTTGTTCAGAGTGTTCAACTGTCCAGAGAGCAGGGCAAAGCTGTCCAATACCGAGGGCCTGGTGGTGGTAAGGAGTCAGAATGTTCCACTCATTCTCTGGAGTGGTTCACATTAAGCAATCTATAAGGAGTCCTTCAGACTAGGAACACCCAGAATTACCCCCAAAAGATTCATAGCTCTATGACCAGCCTAGATGGGAACCAGACTGGCTAGCAGCAATGATGGGGTTAGGAAAGAGGGACACGCTTTCAGTTTCTGACACATGTAAAAAATAGGCAGTTCACCTGTTCTCCTCTTTCAAAGACGGTTGTCCTCTTGGGGGCTTGTAACAGGCCCTGGGAAGGGGTTTCTACAACTTCGCCCTGGCTGAGGAGGGAACAGCTCTGCGTGGCTGTCAGGCTGTGGCTCCACACTCTGTCTACAGCCCAGCACTTTTGGTAGTGTCACCCTGTCTGCCATGTGAGGAAGCTGAGTGGGAAGCACCATCCAGAGGTGCAACGAGCCAGGTGTGGATACAGGGCTGGGGTCTGTGGCAGCCCCAGGCACTGAGGGGTGGGCCGTGGACAGTGCTGTGCCTGCCACTAGCTTTGCAGACCCTCTGTCCACTCTTCCCCTTAGCAGGGTATACCAGGTGGATGCCCTAGCAGGCCCTACCTTTGTGGCTGTGCCTCTTGGGTGTACTCCCTATCACTGGTCCTCCCCAAGGTCGGGCTCAGGCCAAGTCCCTTGGGAGTATGGCGAGCAAGAGGGCACGCTTCACGCTGTGCCCACCCCAGGCTCAGGGTTCCACTGTCATGGCCACCTGTCCCTATAAGTGACATGTTGGTATTAGGATTTGGGGGTAAAATAATCTCATGCTCTGTACATGGACTTAAATGCCTCATTGGAAGTGATATTGGGAGGAAAACAGTTGTGTGTCACCTTTCCAACTTGCGATTCTGTTTCCCATAGAAGAGTCATTTTAGACAGAGGTAAGTAGAGGAAGAAATAACCTAGCCACAGTAATCACTTGATTTCCCAAGTGGAAATGGCTCACAGAGGAGTTGGTGGATGCCTGTCTTGAGTCAGCATAGTGGGGCAGCACACCCTGGGCTCAGGTTCCTAGAGCAAGCCCTGGGACAAGCTGGAAATTGGTGAGGAGGGTTGCGAGAAGTACAAGAAGCTGACAGAGGTTTCGGGGCCTCCTGGGGCCCAGTCTTTGGCACTAAGGCAACCCCAAGTCCTCAGTGACCTCTGGGGAAAGCATTACATTTGGTTCAAGAGTGGTGTTTAAAATTTATGTTGTCAGTGACTAAAATACTGTTTACACAAAAAACTATTTTTCTAATTCTAACAAGTTATAAGTGAAAAGGAATGAGCATGAATGTTGTAGGAAACTGCCAGCTGGTGATGGGCTGCTGTCCCCCGCTGCCTGTGGGGCTGCTCTTCTGTCTGCCCCAGGTCTAGAGACCTGGAAACCTGGCAGTCCTGACCAATAGGAGGAAAGATTCCTGAGGAGTCTTGGAGAAAAGGTTTCGTGCCCTTGGGTGGGGCTTACCCCCTCATATTTATAATCTTAATTTATACAGTGATTACCTTGGAAGCAAATGTGTCTTGTATTGTTATGTACATAGTCCATACCTGAGTGTTGTAAATAAGTTGTTCTGTGCATAAATAAAACAAGCCTGTTTTTGATCTTCAAGAAAAAAAAATACAAAGGCAGTTCATTGTTTGAATAGGATAAGAAAACAGTGGCAAAAAAGGAACATTGGCCACACTGTTACAACTGAAAATTCAGAAACTGGGTAAAAGCCTCTTTTCCAGCCTGGAAATAGGATTCACACTTTCAGAGTAGGTTGGATCTAAAAGACTCTGGCACATCTGTGGAAAGAGATCCAGCATGAATAGAGCTGTAGTGGTGGACCCACTGAGGGAGGACCACCTCACCAGAGAAGTCAAGGGTAAAAATCAAATGCTAGAAAAAACCTGGACTGGGAAACTGGGCACTTCTCTACTTCCTTGCCATGAAGGCCACTTTTTACATGTTGGGAAACCCAGCTCTTTCCAAACCATATATTAAATTGATAAATGGTTGCATCACTGGAGATGTCCTATCCACCAGGAGACCCAGCCCCCCACCTATGGAGCCCTCCCCACCTCGCCCTGGCAACCCTTACCAGGTCAGCCGGTCATACTCGTTCTCCAACTTGTAAATGAAACTCCCCAGTGAGTTCTTCAGATCAGCCACTTGACTCAGCAGTGCATCTAATGATGCCTCAAGTTGCTTCTCCTCCCTCTGCACCAATAGGAACAGGTTGATTACCCAGATAGATGTGAGTATGACACAGAGAGGAAGGCTGAAAAGCCAGGCAAACAGTGTGCAACACCAGTCAGGTAACAGGATCTCATTGGCATAGGACAGCCAGGCTGTTTTCTATCTTTGTTAATGGGGTTACAGACAGCATCAACCCTTAGTACTTTCAACCTGTTCACCTGATCTCAAGTCCTATCGATTCCTTTCTCTCATCATCTCCTAATCCATGCCTGGTTTTTCTCTGTATTAGGTACACTGTACTCTCCCTCACAGAAATTTTCCCCAGACATAATGCCTGAGATTCATTATTTTACATGCACCTCTGCAGCACATGTACTCCAGCTTCCTCTGTCCTAGAATCTGCCTTGGGAGCCTAGGTGCCCTTGTCATCAGCACAATCTCTAGGAAATCTGTGTCCGAATACCAGTCCCACCCGCCCCCCCACTTCCCCACCCTCAGCTCTTCATTTACCCTTAGCATGTGAGGTTTCGATCTTCTTGCTGAATTAATTTGCACTCATTTCTGTCTCCGCCAATATTCCTTTGTCTCTTTCACAAGCTCAGTAGACCCATAAACATTTATTATGTTCTTTAAACGTGAGTATACTAATTATCCTGATTAAGTCACCACATACTGTACACATGTATTGATATGCGATTCTGTACCCCACAAATATATATAATCAACAAAAATAAATAAATATTGAGAGACTACCAGGTGCAAGAAACTAAGTGACAAATGAAAAGCTAAAACTAAATAAACCTCACATACTCCTAAGCACTAGACAATTTTAAATGTTGGGGATCTGCAAAGCACTTCCTTCCTATCTGTGTTCTGCTTTACTCCATTTCTTTACCCTTAAAAACTATCAGGCACAAGCTGGGAAGAATGATGCAAAACCGTCCTGAACACCGGCCAATGTGACTGACGGGCTTGATCCTGGGTTCCACCCACGGTCTCAGATTAAAAATAGTTTAGCTTTCCGCTACGGCGGCTCACAATTCCTTCACTGCTCGGGCTTCCCTCCAATCACAGATCCCCCGTTATGTCTGCATACAACAGCCTCCGTCCACCAGCCCAGGCCGGGGTCTAAGCCAATCCACCACTTTCTCGAGCCGTCTTCCTTGGGTTGCATCTCAGCCTTCCCAAATTAAAACCTAATTCTTCCCCACACCCAAGCAAGTGCTGCCTTCTCCCTCCTGACTTAGCCCGAGTCTTTCTCCTGTCATCGGGCTCCACCCCCACCCCTCACCTGCGCCGCTCCCTCTCCAATTGACCTTGCCCCCCATCCTGCGTTCCCTTATCAGCCGCAGGCTTTGCCCTCTCCTCCCTGCCCCAACTCCTCTCTCTCCTCAGCCAGCCTGCTCTCGGTCCCGTTACCGAAGCTTGCTAGCAGCCAATAGGCCCAACCAGGTTCTCACCTGCATTGCGGCGGCCGCAATGACTTCCCCTTCCGGTTTCCCAGTCAGCGAGCGCCTCTGAGAGGGCTTCGTCCACCAATTAGGAAACTTGGAACTCGGCCCTCCCACTCACTTCCGGTTCCTGCTGGGCGCTGAGGTAGCCAGGTCAGGGGTCAAGAGTGGAACAGCCTCCCTGGCCCGGGCCGGCGCGGAAGGGCTGTGTGATGGCTTCGGAACGCCCGGAGCCAGAGGTGAGGGGCTGGCGGGCGCAGCGCTGGGCCTCGAGATCCGCGGGGGAGGGTCCGGCGGATAGGCGTGGTATTGGCCGCCTTCGGGCCTGGGGGCAGCTGGGCAGCTTAGCCTCTGCAGGGACCGGCCCAGCCCAGAAGGCCAGACCATCGAACTTCCTCCCCGCTGTCCGAAGTTTCCGTGAGGGTAGAGGAGAAACTCTTCGCATTGTTTACTGAAATTACATCTGTGTTGCCGACTCTTTGGCCTGATGATAGTGGTATTAACAAAATCTGTGTTTTGATTTTCTGACGCAGTTTCAGTGTGCAATACGGCAATAGACTTACTTTGCCTGTTTCTGCATTTCTTCAAACATTGGAATGCCACAAACAGGATGAATTAATTTAGTTCTAGCGCTCACGCTTTTAGAAAAGCAGCTTTGGTGTCGTGAAAAAAGATTTGATTCCGAATGAGACCTCACTCCAATGGCGCTGCCATTTACTATCTGTGCAACCTCCGGCAAGTCTTAACTTCCCAGATCCTATTTCCTTCTTTATTAAAAACCTGTCTTATAGTGTGTTGTTAGGATCACATGTATTAAACCAGAAAAGGCATGTGAGGTATCCTGTGCAAGGAAGGTGCACAGTCCGAATCCATTCTCATTCATTTGCAGAAAAGAAAACTGAAAAGTGAGAGAGCTTAAGAACCTCACCCAAGTGGTACTCTCCTGGGGAGTAGCACAGTTTTGAAGTTAGAAGATCTGAGCATAAAATCTCAGATTTGGATAGAACAACAGCAGTATGAGAGGTGCCCAATACTAGAAGAGAATGTGTGTAATGATACATATAGTAATCATTATTGAATACTTACTGCATGCCAGGCAGCATTCTAAGCACTTTACCAATATCAATTAGTCCTCTCAATCCTATCAGGTGGGCACTATTATCATCCCCATTCTTCAGTTCAGGAAACTGAGGCATAGAGATAAGAGTAACAAAGTTAACACAGCTAGTAAGTGTTAGAACCAGGACTTCAAAACAGGTGGTCTGGCTCCAGACCTTGTGTTCTTAACCATAATGTGTACAGTATAAATAATAAAATAGCCATAGGATGGCAAGTCTGCAGTTCATTGGGATTTGGTGTGATGAGACCCAACATTGAAAATGGTTGTAGGAAACTGTGCCCTATGGAAAAGAATCAGACATGTTTATAGGGGTGATAGAATAGCCCGTGTATCAGAAATATCAATATTGAGAAAAACCATGAAACAGTTTGGAGTAAGTTTTGTTATGGATTAAAATGAGATGAAATGGAGGGTGTCGTGGGGAAATTTACCTGTTGGGTAGATAATCTAAAACAGCAGTGTGCTTTAGAAATCTAATGCAAGCTACATATGTAATATTAAGTTTTCTAATAGCATAAAAAAAGGAAAAAGTAACAGGTGAAATGAGTTTTAATGATATATTTTATTTAACACAGTCTCTCCAAAATATCATATCAACATGTAAAAATCTAAAAATTTATGAGATATTTAACATTCTTTTTTTTGTAGCAAGTCCAGTGTTGTATATTATGCTTACAGCACATCTCATTTGAACTAGCAACATTTAAAGTGCTTGGTACACCCATATGGTAGTGGCTGCCATATTGAACAGTACAGATCTGAAGTAATTTGAAATCAAGGCACACACTCCTGGGAGTCTTGTTCAGCCAAAAATTAAGCATTCCTTGAGTTCTTGATTTACATTTCTGAAAATTTTATCAGAAGATAAAGGGAGTGAGTAGTTCTGCCCCTCAGCATAAGAAAGTGATTTACTTTTAGAGGTTATTAGGATCCCAAGAAAGAAAGATTGGGCATAGTCAGATTTAGGAAATCATCCATTTGTCAAATTCTTAAAATATTTTGAGTGCTGCTATGGACTGTACTATCAGGGTGGATACAGAGCAGTACAAGACAGACATGCTCCCTATCTTGATGGAGTAAACAAACATTGAATTATGATAATAAGTTCTGCAAAGGAGTGAATATGAGTGTGTTTAACAGGGGTTCTTAACCTACTTTGTTAAGGTGTGGGGGGTGGATCAGGAAGCCTTCCTGGAGGAATGACATTTAAGCTGAGGCCTGAAGAATGGGTGGAAGTTGGCTATAAGGAAGGCAGAGAGCATTATAGGCAAAAGGAATGGTGAAGATTCTGAGGTGAGGAGCTTAGAGTCTTCAGAGAACTGAGAGGAAGCCACTCCTAGTGTGGAGGCAGTGTGACAGTGAGAATAGCTAACACTTATTGAGTGCTTACTAAGTGTCGTCTAATACTCAAAATCCTTACAACAGGCACTATTATTATCCCTATTTCACAGATGAGGAAACTGAGGAACAGAGGGTTTCTGTGCCAAAGCCGTACAGCTAATAAGCAACAGAACCAGCATTTGATCCTAGGTGCTCTAACACTAGAGTGCATGCTCTTAACTGAGGGGATGGGAAATTGGTGAGAGGCTGGAGAAGAAAATTCAGCTTGAGGCCATGCTAGAGGTTCAAGACTTTGGTATATAGTGCTGAGGAGGCTTCGGACAATTCAAGGGGAAAAAAATCTACATTATTTTGTTGGAGTCCATTAATAGAAGACAGCACAAGGGATAGAAAAAGCTCAAAAAATAATTCAGATCTTAATCACAAAAGGACAGGTGGAAAAAAACAAACAGAAAACGACAAATTAATGAGGTGGACCATGTTGCATTCATCCTGGTATACGTGGTATGCAGCACAGGGCCTGGTAATGTTTTATTCATCTTGGTATAAATGGTATGTAGGCCTTCATAAATGTTCCAAAGAATGATAGCCTTCCTCTATCATCGTTCTGACTGTCCTGTTTTATTGCAACAACATCCCAATGAAGATATTCTTATCCACATCTTATCAATGAAGAAACTGAGGCCTGGAAAAATTAAGTAACTTGTCCAGGGTCACCTAGATAGCAAGCGATAGAACCAGATTTGAATCCAGGGCTCTGACTCCAAAACCTCACTTTGTCTTCTTTGCTAGACTACTCCAAGAGTAATGCATTTCAGACTCAAGGGGGATTGATTCCGGGGTCTTGAAGCTCCATTTGAGTGTGGATGCTGTAAGAACATGACTAATTCAGGGATTCTTAATTGTTAATGTGGAAGGGCCGGCCCCGTGGCTCACTCGGGAGAGTGTGGCACTGGTAGCGCCAAGGCCGCAAGTTCGGATCCTATATAGGGATGGCCGGTGCGCTCACTGGCTGAGCGTGGTGCGGACAACACCAAGGGTTGCAATCCCCTTACCGGTCAACACC